CCATATTTGAATTTGATTTGATTTGAAAATTTCAGATTTGAATTTGATTTGAACTCAAATATTTGATCAAATCAAATAAATCAAATCAAATCAAATTGCAGAACCCTACTACCTGTTGACATAAAAGAAACCAATTTAAAATCCAAAGAGGTACTCTCTGTTGGTAAAAACTGATTCTAATTTCTAACTCACCAGTAGAAGGTTTGTGAGGATACTTTCTCTCAACAATGTACTAAATATTTTAGAATGATAATATACATATTAAATACCTTTTAGAGATGATAATATATATATTAAATACTTTTGAAGACGATAATTTACATATTAAATACCTTTTGAAGATGATAATATGCATAATATTAAACACCTTTAGAGACAATAATATGAATATAGGTATGTACGAAGATGATAATATCTGACAATATGATAATGTGAAAATTTTTATGCATCGCTGATTGATTGTTGGGGTTTGGGATACTCAATAAAGAATGACGCAGGTTTTGGGATTTGGAATTCGGTCTAAAATTACGATAAGTGTCGATACCAACCCAAATTAAGTAGAAATGTCAAACATCCGTAACTAGGGTTCGGGCTACATCCCTAATCTGCGTATAGGTTTATGCTGGTTTGAATAAGAGTGTCTAAGTAGACTTCGAGTTGACCGGCCCTTTTGGCAAGTGTTAGTGCTGTTACTGGCTTTTTGGAAGTGTCTGGTCGGAACTTGGAATTTCGCGTAATAAGTAATATATATCTGACTATTTGTAATAAAAATATCCTGATCCGTTGGGTATTAGCGGTCAGGGTATTTTAGTATTTACATACTAATATTTTTTTAATAGGTTATCACTTTCTGGCATTTATATTATCAAAAAATTTATACATACTAAATAAATTCATTTTAAAATTAATGTGATGTAATTGAAAACTTTTTTTCTTTGTAGTTTATAATAGAGCCGAATTATATCAAATTGTGCAAACTCCACGGATTGTGGAAATGATAGTTTAATTATTATGGCATGAAAATTTTAGGACCAATTTTCCAATAAGATGTGATTTAATTATGATTACGTTTTGCCGAATAATCTTGATATGTGTTATTCTTTCTTTCAAATTAATTATTAAATAATGTTCATATGACAATGTTGTATGATTATCTACATTATAAATCAAATTTTCACTCTTTGACTATCACATATTTTTACATTATCAAGATTGTTAATATTCAATAATTATATATTTCAAAGTCCATAATCAGTATCCTAAAATAATGATAAATGGTGGATATAAATTCATCAAATATTATTTTCCTTCAAGCATTGTTGTCCAATCCCACTTTTTCCATTTTTTCATAAATTCAGATACACGTGTACCATTATCATGTGGATTTAGTTTTTTAGGTCGTCTCCAAACATCCGGTGGTAAATCACACACACCAGCAACTATTTCCTATTTTTGAAATATAATTTCAATGTAATTTAAAATTCATGTTAATGCAATAAATAAAGATGAAAAAAAAACAAACCTTGCCAAACCATCGGGGAAAAGACTTTTCTTTTTCAATAACATGTCCAAACCCTTTATCCAAACCAAACCAAACATGAAAATAAGGTAATTCCTTAACCATTGAACGTCTGAAACCAGTTTTAGATGTGTCTATTAACTTTTTATTTTGTGACCATTCGCCACCACTTTCCATTATACCTTCCTATTTTAATTGATTATTAAGAACAAAAAATGACATCAATCATAATGAAATCAATATATTAAAAAATAAACATAATTTTATCAGACCTTAAAATATGCAGGTGCATCTTGGGCTAAGTCCCAAGGCATTGGTATACATTCAATAACTGTATGATTTTGATATTTCAAATGTACAACTGTCTCCATGAAAATTACACCTTGATCCTCTTCTGCAAACATTTGTATTAAACATTTCATAAAATTCTAAATAAAATCAATAAAATAATGTAAACAAATAAATTAATAAAAATATAGTAATAACTATGGTAATTTGTTAACAATTTCCGATTTAAAATCAACATACCCGTATTTCATCCCATGCGTCATCATCGCATTCTAATGTAGATGAACAATGCTGAACAGGCACAATCAAACAATGCCCTTTAGTAACTTCTACTACATTTGGTAAAGCAAGATATACCCTATATCCCATCGAAACTACTGCTACTTTTGGTGGAGCGTCATTGTGACAATAAATGCAGTTTTCCAGAGCTTGCTTTGATTTTTTAAAATCTAAAAATTGTGGTCCAATTTTTTTATAAAATAAAGAATTTGGAAAAAGCAAAAGGAATCAACTATAAATCCATCATTACCTTCAATTGCAAAATGTCGGGTTTGTTCTGCGGATTTTTGTGAAATTTTAGCGATACTATCAGCATTCTCGTCCATATATTCTAAATCATCCTATATATAGGTTTTTAGGAAAATTAGACATCGAGAATTACAAAAAAAAAAAGAAACCAAAAATTATATACATAAACTTACTTCAAATTTTGAATCACCTACTATCCTTTCAGCTACCTGTGAATCCATCGACTTCCTCGATCCTAGTCGTTCTTGACGTACCAAATCATTCAATGTTAACTCGTCATCATTACTGAAATATCGTATTCGTTGACCGGTTACGTCATGTGTTTCTATCTTTTGTAACATGTAAAATTGTTAAGACCAGTAATAAAAAATGTCGCGACTGATTCTAAGAATTTAATTTAATTTAATTTAATATGAATTTTTAAATTGTATTATTTTTCTATATTTAGGTTAAGATTTAAGGCTAGAGTTACTAATAAAAGAACTAATAAAATAAGATGTGTAGGTTTTAGTAGGTTTAGTAGCTAATAGGGGCCAATCTTAGTATCAGCCGCAACAATAAATACTGTCTCCAAAGCTATGACTTTGTATACCTTTTCTTTTTTACGACGGGAAGATTCCACATGCTGAGAAAATTTTGATGTAGTGCCACTAAGATCGTAAGGTCTTCCTCGACTATCCAATAATGGTAAAACTTCAACATAAGTCTCTGATTCTACACCGCTAGAACTATTCTCAGCTATTAATCTAGCATTCTCATATTGTTTTTCTAACTCACTGGCGTTAGGCAAATTCATCATTCTAGCACGTAAAGCTTTTGCTTGTAGTTTATTTAATTCATCAGGGGACAATATGGATGAATTTAAAGAAGGTGGAGGTATTGAAGAAGGTATATGTGAAGTTGTAGAGATCGTAGTAGCTACAGAAGTTTGATCCGTAATATTTGTCGGAGATGGTGAACGAGGACGTTTAAGAGATGATTTATTGCCATCAGATGATGATTCATATATTCCATCGTTTTGTGGTTTCATAAATGACGGTCTGTTTGAATGCTATACATTAGAAAATGTTATGCAGAATCAGTATATGACGAAAGACTTTTTAACAACAATTCACGTATTTTTACCGATTGCAGTAAGCCTTGTGAAGAAACCGGAATGGAAGGTAGATCGATGTGCTTTTCAACCCAAATAGCACTGTCGAGATCGAATTTCTCAGTCCCGGAATCAGTACTACTACCACCACTCTGCTCCTCGTAAGAACGATCTCGTTTCTTACTATGTTTCTTATGCTTTCGATCTTTTTTATGCTTCTTTGAGGTTTTATCCTTTTTAGATTTCTTAACTCGTTTAGAATTTGAAACAGGATCTGTATCCATGTTTCTTAGAAATCGCCAACTCTCGATCAGTGTTTAAAATTCGAAATAAAAACAATTGTACAAATATATATTTTACAGCTTTTTTTTTAAAAAAACCAAAAAAAACTTGCACATATGCATGTACTCTCGATATAAGAAATTTCAGCAATTTAATTATGTCACCTGATTTTGAATGTGATATTACTGTATTATCATCTTTTTTTAATCTGTCGTGAAGATCATCCAATAGCGAGTCTCGTTTTAATGTAACGTTACACGATCAGGAAGATCAAAACAAAACGCTTGTCGATTATTTCTCAAAAACTTGCATAAGAAACCACTTCCTCGAGTGATTTTACTAATACCTAGCTCTTAAACGAATTTAAACACTGGATCAGCCCGACGAGACGGGTATCTACTTATAGAACATGTTCTAAACACACCTGGCTTTAGCCATTCCCTGAAAATGGGGTGATTTTACTAATTTTTACCCACACTTTCTATTGGTTGAAATAATTTAAAATGTGACGTTTCAGTTAGGGTTGGCATTAGGATTAGTAGGTAAAATTATACCAAAATTTTGTAAGGAATTTTTATTTTGTTATATAGTACGTGAAGGATGTGACTGACCCCACTTGGTCAGAATCAAAGTGAATTTATTCAATCATGGGTAAGATTACCTTCAACTAATAGAAAAGGAGTACTCCAAATATAATAAAACATATAAATCACTTTAGTTTTAAACTGGAGTGGTTTATATGTTTTGGAGTACTTCATTAACAACTCTAGACATTGGACAATGTTCATATAATTATCTGTGGCCTGATAATGTACTTGAACAAATATCTAATCAATCATTAAACATGAACATTTGTCCATAAACAATGTCCAAATGTTTCAAGCACACTATTCATTTGTCCATGTTTATTAACAATTATAAAGATTTGATTGTAAATTTCTTTAAAATATATATATAGTGATGGGACCTTCTACATTATTAATAATTAATAATAATTATTAACAATTGACCTGAGTTATTAACTAAAAACTACTTAATAATGTATGATGCAGCTAATTTGCACTGGATTAATGTAGGATACAGCTAATTTGTACTGAATATGCGAAAGTTAATACTTCCATGCACTATTTTTTCGCAACCTTGCTCAGATTAAATTTTATTATGAGTAAGATGTCTAAAATTATAGACTAATGAAATTTTATTATTACAATTCCTTTTTTTGATAAAGCGAATTTACCAAAACATAACCTTAATAAAGGTAAACTTGCAAAATTTTATGGATTTATCGATAGTCAATATCTATGTTTATTAATATGATCAAAGTGAACTCATAATTACTAAAGTTGGAACCTAAACAATCTTATACATACAATTATTGAATATAAAAATTTAGGGATTTTTCAACACTTTTTGAATTAAAAATATCGGTAAGTGTTAGAATAGTTTCTTCATTATTTACATCAAATATATAAACATCATCTATTAATTTGTCAGATATTTAACTTAAATTAGTCATAAATTCATCTATATCATCACCTTCATTTTCATCGTCATCATCATTGTTGTCTAATATATTTTTTTCTATTTTATTCAATACCTGTTTTTCAGAATTTTGAAGTTTCTTTTTGATCAGATCAGATTTTTAATTTATATATCAAGATACTTGCGCTATTTTTGCAGCACGTAATAGTGATAATTTATTACGACATTCTGTATATATATTACCTAATAAAGACCATATCTGTTTAGAAGTTGCAGAGTTAGGTAGAATTGATAAAAGACGACATGCGAAGTCACTTAAATTTGGTGCTACATGATGCATAGTACACCAGTATCATAGTGGAAATTTTGTAAAACTTGGGTTTTGAATAGAGGATGCTAAAAATAGGCCTTCTTGATTTGCATAATTTAACCATTCATCAATAAATTTATCTTGATTATAATCTGGATAAAGGGAGCAAAACAAGCCATATGCTTTTTCCTGAATATATAAAGACCATGTTGGATTTAATCTTTCATCATGATGATATGGATGAAGAAACCAAGTGATTAAATAAACTGAATTAAATATTTTTTCTCAACGATTATTAATTTCAATAATTAATAAATTTTGAAAATCATTATTGGTAAATGAGCTCATATAAACAGTTTTACGAAGCCAGGTCTAAGATGCAGCCACTTGATCTAATGTAGCTGTTTCAGTTTCAAGAATTTTTATGATGTAATCGTATAGTTTTAATAATATGTGAAATGATTCAAGATTTATCCAAAATTCATTATTATTTATAATGCTGATAAGATTGTTTTCTTGTGAAATTAAGCAAGACGAATGCATAAGTGTAATAACCTAAAAATATTATAATAAATATAAATTATATTTAATATAAACTTATATATAATATATATATTATATAAATTGTCTTTAAACTTGTTTGAATTTGTAATAATGTTTCTGATGCTTTCGTGAATGTAGTCCAACGAGTAATACATAAATATTGAGGTTTTAAAGTTTCATTACAAGCTAATTCTCTTAATTTAGATAATGCAAGATTCGAATTGCAGAAATAATTGATAATTATCAACATTTTTTTAATAACTGATTTGAAAAATGATGATTCGACGATTTTCTTAACTAACAAGTTAGTTTGATGTGCCATACATGGAATTGTTAAAACCTTATTGCCAATTTCATTATCCTATAATAATATATATAATTAATACATATATATTGATATTATAAATTTATTTCAAATAAAAAAAATTATATATTATTAACCTCACATATAAGATGTTGTGCCTTTTTAAAATCAGGTCCACTATCTGAAATAAATATAATCTATTTGTTTAAACCAAGTCTCATTCCAACTTCTTTATATATTTTAAATATATTGTTACCTGTATGACATAAGTGTGAATAATTTTCAATTTTTAAAATTTGACTTTTATGCTTTTCGTTTGTTACTATAAAATTTAGCATACTGTTTTTTGAAATGTTTGTCCATCCGTCATCAGATAATGTTAAAAACATTGAATCTGATATAAAACGTTGAATATTACATTGTACATTCTCGAGTATATTATCTAAAATATCTGTGCTTATCCATTTACGAGAAGGAAGCTTATATTCGGGTTTTATCATATGAAATAATTTAATTACTTCAGCATTTTCTATAAATGATAATGGAGCATTGGCCGAAATCAATACTTTAAGTAGTTGACAGTTAATAGATGACTTTTCTCCAATAGATAATGAAATAGATTCAGTTTCTTGTTTATTACTTGTGTCTATATTATCATCTGTATCAATTTGAAAAGGTGAATCATTGTTTTGTGATTTCTTTACTTCAAGGGTTTTTAAAATATCTCTAATATTATCATGTTCATCTTGATGTATATCGTCACACCTTTCTAATAAGTGTTTTATTATTTTTGAAGGTTCACCAGGACAGTTTTTATTGCAGAAATTACATTAAGCTAAATAATATAAACTATTAAGTTTTTTACCTTCACTAAACCACCACCATATTGGTTTTTTTTTCTTTCAAATTTACGTTGAGAAAGTATTTTACATTGAGAAGACATTTTAATTTGATTATTTTTTAACAAACTTGGAAGTTATAATTTATTATTGTTATAATTTTAGTAAACAATTAAAACAATTACATATATCTGCAGTTATTAATATGCTTGCATAGTATTTATTAACAATGACCAAAATTATTAACTATTAATAATTGTTAATAACTAATTATTAATTCTTTCATTATTAACTCAAAATTCGAAAGTCCCATCACTATATATATATATATTATGCTATTTTTTAACATTAACACTTATATCTATATCGATTTTATACATTTAGCGACATTAGCCTAATAAATATTAATTGTCCGAAGCGTAGCGAGGACTTACAATGGAGACGTAAATACACAAAATGTCTGGTTCCGCTCACGTGATATATATCCAATCAGAGTTTAAATTAATATAACAGATCGACACGGATCAGCCCGACAAAATGGAAAATCTCGTAAAATTAAAAGCTTCAGAACCTGTTTTCCTAGTAATAAAAATTTTTTATTACTTATTACACTTGTTAAACATTTTTGACTTTTAACTATAATAGAAATATTGAAATTTAAATCTCACACTAATCAATAAACTACACGCTTCAAAGCATTTATTCTGGACGATATAAAGCTATAGTTTGTACAGTTTCCAAACTGATCGTGACTATAACATGTATGCTGATTAACTATCGTTAGTCCGAAGATTATTACTATTTAGTAAAAATATCACATGCCAGGAAACTTAATACTGTATGTCGATCGTACCTCGTACCTTTCAAAAGTTAAGCTTTTGATAGATCTAGTAAAGTTTAGTATCAAATTATATACAATTCATGATAGACTATAAAGGTCAGCGTCAAAATGGCAGTGACAAGTCATGCTGAAGAAGCAAAGAGCAAAAATGTTGAGCGATTTTGAGAAACAACGGGAAAAGATCGCTAAAGTGATTAAAAAACTTTCAGGAAATACTGTATAAAAGATTTAAGAAAAGTTCAGGATTCTATTTCAATTCATTCACAAAAACTTATTCAATGTTACATAGTAGTAATATTATTGTAAACCTTGATCTTTCAATATTACCAAACGTAAAACTAACACCAGATGAAAGATTGTATTTGACCGATAGGCAAATTATATATAATAATAGCTTTGAAACTATATTTATAAAATTTTTTTTCATGTAATATATATTAAGTTCGAAATTATATATGTAAACTGTCTTTTTCAAAGCAAATTTTCTCAACTAACAACTAAAGTTATTTAATCAGAAACAATATTTTCAGTTTCAGCTCAGACTTTGATGTTTTAAAAAAATTTTTTAAAAAAAATAAAAAAATGTTTAAAAAACTGTTTAACCCGTTTTTTACTATCCCTAACTATATAATCAATCAAAATAAGAATTGTACGTAATTGATACTTAATTGATATTTGAGCGATCCATCGTTATCACTACATTTAGTTCATAAAGTTATAGCTTAAGCTGTTAATATGGCTTAACTTATAGCCAAGACATAATATAAGCCATGGTTTAAGCTAGTTAAGCTACAGTATATATATATATATATATATTTACAATAATTCGATTTTTCCTTCTACCTTAAAAACTCAGCTAACTTCCTAAATAATAACAATACAAAGTTTTAGCTTTAAAAAATAGCTTTAAGTTATAATTGAAACTAATAACTTCGAGCTGTGGCTAAAGCTATCTTTACTTTGGCTTAAGCTATAATTTAAAGCCATAGCTTGGGTTATCGTTATAGCTCAAACTCTTAGTTTAGCTTAGTTTTGTTGAGCTTGGCTTAAATCTATGGCTAAATCCGACTTTTTGTAATAAAAACCATTCTTTTGCCACTACCCAAATCAAATATCGATATTTATGTACGTATCAAAATTTTTTCCGTGTCCCTTGTACAGGCAAAAATCGATAAGGAAAACTGTCGGTCACAGAAATATGAAATGGGCATGTGGCGGGTAACACAACCATAAAAGGTTTTTTTAAATAATTCATGTATTTAAAAATGTCGTTGTTTTCGAGATTCACATTAGCTGTTAGATCAAGTAATCAACACGTTTTGTCACGTCTTTTAGCAGTTCAAAGAAATATGCACTCCAAAGTTGTGATTATAGGCTCAGGTCCAGCGGGACATACTGCGGCACTTTACTTGTCCCGAGCAACTCTAGAACCGGTTATGTTTGAAGGACAATTTGCGAACGGCTTTGCTCCCGGTGGTCAAGTACAAATCCCCAAATAATTCCTGCTTTATTAACTGACTTGTTAAAAAATCTCGCATTAACATGCTTCTGTAATTTGCAGCTTACTACAACTACCGATGTAGAAAATTATCCTGGTTTTCCTGAAGGAATTATGGGTGGGAAAATGATGGAAAAATTTCGCGAACAAAGCGTTAGATTTGGTACAAAAATTTACACTGAAACTGTATCAAAAGTTGATCTTTCAATGCGCCCATTTAAATTTTGGCGTGAAAATTATGAAGATAAAGTGCCAGATACTGCTGATGCACTTATTATTGCAACAGGTGCAGCTGCAAAAAGATTGAATCTTCCTGGTGAAGATATATACTGGCAAAAAGGAATTTCTGCATGTGCCGTTTGTGATGGTAACTAAAACAAATGTATAATTTGTCTTTTTTTGTGTCACATAATATTTAATTTAAACACATGATTTTTAAAGGGGCTTTACCTATCTTTCGTAAAAAACCTCTTGCTGTAGTTGGTGGTGGTGATTCTGCCGCTGAGGAGGCTACATATCTTACAAAATTTGGTTCTCATGTTTATGTATTAGTTCGTCGAGACAAACTTCGTGCATCAAAAGTGATGGCGAATCGATTACTCTCAAATCCAAATATTACAGTGCTTTGGAACACTATTGCTATCGAATGCAAGGGTGATGGAAGTGTATTAAATCTTCTGGTTACGAAGGACACTAAAACCGGTGAAATAAAAGATTTGCCTGTAAATGGTTTATTCTATGCAATTGGTCATGTACCAGCTACTGATTTGGTTAAAGAACAATTAAAGTTAGATTCCGACGGTTACATTATCACTGAACCAGATAGTACTTGTACGAGTGTAGAGGGTGTTTTCGCTGCGGGTGATGTGAAAGACAAGAAATACAGGCAGGCGGTAACGAGTGCAGGTACTGGATGTATGGCTGCGTTAGAATGTGAACGTTGGTTGAGCGAACATTTCCCAGAATAATAGATTTTTCATTATATATTTTAGCAATTTTCGCGTTTATAAGTTAACATTACTTAAACAGTCCATTAGCATAAACAATTAAGAAAACTATCATTTATTAACATTTTATTAGAATAATATAGTATCACGTGGTTATTTACAAGCTCCGACGTAAATTTCGATTCAACTTATGATTGTCATTTTTATTCAATTTTTGATTTTTCTTGTTTCATAACAGTATTATATATAGACAGAGCCTAATAAAAAGAAAAAAAGTTTAAACAATTCGTTCAACAAAGCATGAAAAAATGAATAGTCCCTATGAATACCTGAGCAATCATTGATCCAGCATCACTGATAGAAGCTGGTACAATTATAGAATTGCCTTGTTTAGCAAGTTGTCCAAAGGCTTCTACATATTTTTCAGCAACGGTGAGAGCAACCGCTTCAGGACCACGATTTTCTTCTATAGCCAAAGCAATTCGTCGCATACCTTCAGCAGTAGCATTAGCGCGAAGAAGAATAGCCTCAGCCTCACCTGTGAGGAATAATTAAGTTACTAAACATTAAGTGAAACTGAAATTTTCTAAAATAATTAAATTTACCGGACGCTTTGTTTATTTGTTCAGCTTTTTCAGCCTCTGAGGCCAATATCACAGATTGTTTTGTACCTTCCGCGACGTTAATAGCAGCTTGTCTCGCGCCTAAGATTAATTTCAAATATTGTTTCATATTATAAAATTTAAAATTCGTAATAACCAATTATAATGACAGACCTTCGGATTCTAAAATAGAAGCTCTTTTGGACCGTTCTGCAGATACCTGAGAATGCATAGACTGCACAACCTTTTCAGGTGGCTTAATATCACCTTATCAGAAGAAATATATTTTAAATTCAATATATAAATACACATATGTATACCAAAAATTTTACTTACGTATTTCGTATCTTAAACATTCAACCCCCCAATCCCTTGCTGCACTATTAATTGCAGAAACTATATTTGCATTTAAGTGAGAACGTTCCGCCAAGGTTCTATCCAAGGTCATTTGACCAATTTCAGCCCGCATCGTTGTCTGGGCCAATTGTGCAATTGCATATTCAGCGTCTTCAACACCATAAGACGCCTATAAAATTTACATGAAAGCAAAAACACGAAACGACAAATTTCAAAAGTCTGATAATATATAAATGGGTGTTTGCTACCTTGTACGGATCAATGACTTTTATATATAATACACCATCAAGTTCTAATGTAACGTTGTCTAGATAAAAACGAATCATCAGATGGTGGCTAAACGAGATGTTCTCTCGATTTACGTAATATGTGGATCGTCAAACCTTGTGTTATAGCACTTTGGGTAGGAATATTTAAACAATTTTCTTTAAGACTTTTAACGTACTTTATTCGTTCGAGCAATGGAATCACAAAAGCCAGGCCTGGTGGTAAAATTCGATCAAACTGATAATTTTTACTAAAATAAATATCATTTGGCTTCAAAAAAAGATTATTGAATGTTTACAGAAAAGTAACCTTTCCAAATCGCTCTATAACCCACGCTTCTTGTTGTGGAACGAAATTAATAATCTGTAAACAATATGTTATTTAGTAAGTTAATTTAGACAAATTGCTTTCGAAAAAGATGCTCACTGTATTTCGAGGTAACTTTGGTCGAAGATGAGTCTCCGGAATTGAGCCAAGAAATGAATATTCGTCACTATTTCCATATGAGTTATATACTTTCTGATTCAAGTGAAATATATTGGCTGTTCGCTAGAAAAATATTTATAAAAACTGTGAATTTTGGCTCTGAAAATCCGGGCAGGTTTGATATTTTTTTAGCGAATAAATACCAGTGCATATCTTTTTGTTGATAGAGATAATAATGGTGGTTGGATTAATGATAATTTTAACAGCGAACGAGATGCCTGGATGGTCATGTTAAAAATTAATACGTTCGTAATGATGGATAAAAATTAAACAATCACATGGCAGTCATCGATAAAATCAGTCTACGTATACAATCAGGGATTACGAAATTTGATTGGCTGTTTTTTTAAAAAAAATTATTAGTTTATTAACAACTTTCGGTACAGTTTTCTCTTGAACTAACATAATAATTGCAGGTTTAATTTATTGTAAATGATATTTTAACTCGCTTAGAATAGCGTAACAATGGCATTTTTTCGATTTACGCCGTTTACAAGTAGCCAATTCTTTAACAAAGTAAAGAAGTTTTATCCAAAATGTAACAACAATAAATGTATTAAAATTCAAAAACCAAGGTTGTCATGAAAAAGAGAGCAACTTGGTTTAGGTCATAGATAAACTAGTCTGAGCTCTCATTCTTGCATATAATTTTTATTTTGTTACAAACAACCTTAGTTTATTTTAGTACTTTTATACTAAAATATATAGTTAAAATTATTAATAAAGATATAAGCAAGGTTTTACCTTAACACTAAAAAAAAAAAGAAAAAAAAAAATAACAAGAGTTACAAAATAAAAAAAAATTTAATACAAAATTTAAATTTTTTTTTTTTTTTTTTTTTTTTTTTTTTTAACCTTAAGCAGTTATATTAGTATTTTATTAAGATTCTTGAAACTATATACATTTATAATTATATAGAATTTCCTAATACCTAAGTCTAACATTATTTGATCACCTAATTGGTACCTAAGTGCAACCTGTTGCACTATCTTAGTTAAAGATAAACTGCTCATCTAACTACTTAAAGTCATATCAAAAGGGTTTTCTCTCTTCTGTAACAAATATATTAATTGTCTTTCAAGCTTTTTTCTTTATTCGATTCAATTTTTCTGCTTTTTTTTCTTTTTTTTCTTCCTTTGCCAGCTTGTCTTTCTTTATTCTTTTCTCTGATTTTTTTCTTATTCAAACACTTTCTTCATTTTGCTTATTATATTGATTTTTTTTTATTTCTATATTTTTTTATATCAGACTCTCTATATTTGATCATAGAATATATTCTATACTGTTCTTGTTATTATATTTATACATTTTTGTGTCATCTGTCTATTTAAAATCTGTTCAAGTCTTTTTTCAATCTTTGTTATAGTTAGTCTTTTTATTATTGACTTTTTGTTTATAATTTCTTCTATTTTTGTTTTCTCAAATAATGCTTTATATAGAACTAAAAATAGAATTCTGTCTTTTTTACTTTCTTTAAAGCTTTTCTATACTATTACTGTTATTACTTTTTGGATTTTCTTTCACAAACTTTTTTGTTCACTGCAACTTGCTAAATGTGTTTAAGTTTCTTTTTCATCTTTTTGACAAACTTGGCAGTTTGTTACAATATATATCTTTGGTCTTCTTCTATTTAATTCTTTTAGTATTGGTAGATTGTCTATTATGCATTTGATCACTATTGCCCTTCTAGTACTAAGTTTTCTTGTTATACTGTATGTACCTTTTGTTTGGTTCATTTCTTTCCAAAAACTTGACCAATTATGATACATCTTTTTTGTTTTGGTTCTAATATTCAAATTGGATTTGTTTTTTTCCAACTGGTTTCAATTTTGGTATTTGTTACTATTTTGCAAAGAAGTTTTATTAGTATATCAAATTTTTTGTTTTTTTATTTCAAGTAATATTCTATTCTTTCATATTTAACCTTCTCTGCAGATATTGTTTTATATATGTTGCTTCTTTTTTTGTAAATATATCTGCTCTATTATTTTATTTGTTATTACTGTGGCTTTTAATTTTAATCAGTTCTATTTTGATATTTTTATTTTTGATTAGATCTACAATGTTTATTAGTTACATCATGGTTTTTTTTTTAGAACTCTAATATCTCCTATATCTTGAATTGCTCTGCTAATGTTTCTTAATGCTACTAGACTGTCTGTATACACTTCTATAGCTTTCTTTTTTAGTATTGTTAAAATTGTTAGCTATATTGCTGCTAATTTAGCTGTTATCACTAAAGGCCAACTTTCGAGTCTTAGTACTGTCTCTTTTTCTGGCCAATTTTTTCTATTTTTAACTTGTATTCAGTCTATATCCATTTTTTCTAGACTATTTTCACTTCTTTTTCTAAATAATGCATTGTCTGTATAAAAGATATACTTGTTTTTGTTTTTTAATATGTTTCTTGTAAGAGCTTTTATTAAATAAGTTGTAATCTTTCTCTTGAATTTTTGTTTTTTAATTAATTCTATCTTTAATTCTTCTACTTGTTCTAATCTAGTTAATCTTCTTTCTTTTTCTCACCATTCTCTTATTGATCTATTTTCTAGTATTTGTTCTACTGTTGCATTGATTTTGTTATTGTTTTTTTCTACTAGTGTTTCTGAAATTGCTTTAATATTGTTGCTTTATCTTATTCATCTTTCACATGTGTCTGTTGTTTGTTTTAATCCACTTTCGCAATCTTTGCATTTTCTTATTTCTGTGAACATCTTGCCTTTTACTTCTCGCAGTAACCAATGCTTTATTAAGATCTTTTTTTCTTTCTTCTTTAGTATTTTGCTAAGATGCTGGTTATGCTTCAGTCCATGAACAATCCACTCTTTTTTTTTTTATTTTCTGATACTATTATCTAGTTAATCATTAATACTTGGGTGTTATAATCACTAATTTTGTAATGGTTATATATTTTTTTATATGTTTGTATTATTAACACTTTTTCTTCTATTTCACTAAACTATTTAGCTTTTTTTTCTTTGCATGACAGTCTTTGAAAGCTTTTGAGCTGTTTTCATATGATTAGATTCTCATCTTTCATGTCTATAAGCTAGTTTAGATATAACAAACCTTATTTATTTATTGTACAACTACTTGCTATTCAGGTTTTAATTTCAATTAGATTTCTTATTTTTATTCTATATTTATATACTTTCTATAAGCAATTTTCTGCTTTAATGTTTATTTCTATTTCTTTTACTTTGGCTATTGTCTAATAAGCTAGATTGTGTCTTTAAAACTTTGTTTCTTTTGGTCTTTTTTTGATGTCCTATATATCTTTTATTAAGCTTGCTTTTTGGTATTCTTAAGCTATTCTAAGTCTTGTTAGATCACCTAGACTATCTTTTCTATTAAGTCTTATGAATAAACTACTTATTTGTTTTGTCACTATCTCTTGGCTTAATGATTTACAGTTTCCTAAATCTTTGTACTTTATTATGCAGTTATTTATAGTTTTTATCATGTTGTACTTATGTTTTGCCAAACAGATTATCAGTTGATAAATCTTATTAATCATCTTTTCTGATATTCTTAATAACTGTAAAAGATAGTCTAACTTTGGAATTATTACTGTATTGTTATATACATCATCAAATGTTTAAACTGCAATAATTTTAAAAGAATTGCATTTAACATGAAATAATATGAAATATTATGAAAAAATTGCATTTGATATGAAATATTGCAAAAATATTGTATTTTAAAATTTTGATGATGTATATGATTTGGCTTATTGTTATTTTTTTGTATTTAAGGTCTTTGACTGTTTGGCTGACTATTTCTTTAGCTTTTTTGCAGACTAGTAACTCTTTCATTTTACTATTTGCCAAATTTTTAGTGATTTTACAATTTTATTTTTTGGCTCTTCTGTTATTCGCTCTGCTTAAAAATAATTTTTCTGTTTTTTTTCTTCTGTCTAGAATTTATTACTATAAGCTTTGACTTATCTTTATTTATTTTAATATCATTGGCTTTAAAGAATTTTTCTGTGATTTTGGAAATTTTCAACAGTTGTTCTTTGCTATTTGCAATCTATATTGTATTATTTGCATATGTGATTGCTGCTTGTTTATGTTTTGTAATATAATTAATAGCTGTATTTTTTAATATTTCTTGCTCTACTATATAGTTTAGTAATTTATCTTCTTGAATCTTTTCTAGCAATAGATTATAGAAAAGCTGCCAAATTAGTAGAAAAATTATCTTCTTCTGGTTTATTCTATCTTCTGCAGTTATTTCTTCTGTTAAACTGTAAGCTGTAATCACCTTAAGTTGATATTTATAAAAGAGATTGATAATGTATCTTATTGTTTTTTGTAGTAACTTAACTCTTTTTAGTACCTACTCTAAGCTTTCTAAAGAGACTGAATCAAATGCCTTCTTTATGTTTTGCAGAAGTATCCATATTTTTTTATTCTTCTCTTGTACTTCTTCTATTATCATATTTAGCAAGTATATTAGTTACTCTGTTGAGTTACTAGGCAGATCTGTGTAGTTTGGCCCTTTGAGTATTTCTTTTTCTGTAAATATCTTGGTTAGCCTTTTTGTTAACATCTTTATAACTAACTTCTAAAGATCTCAATTAGTGCTATTAGTCTAATATTGTTCATATTATACTTTCAGTCTTCATTTTTTGGAATTAAATAAACTTGTGCTATTTTTAGTTTATTAATAATTCTTTTTTTTCTAAAACCAGATTTGCAAAGGCTCTGAAAATTTTTTGTGATTTTTTCTTTGCTCATTTTATTAATATATAGCTTATGCCAATATTCCTAAAGCTGTGTTGACTTTGAATTCTCTTATTGTATCTTCACACTCTTCTTCTTCTATCTTTTCTTCTAGTTTTCTGTACTAAGACTCATCAATTCATTTTTTTAAGTTGTATACTTTCTTTTATTCTTCAAATATTTCTCTTAGTTTGGTTTTTTATTTTCTAAATTGATTTTTAAAGTGATTTGTCAAACCACTTAAGACTGCTTTAGGTTCTGTTATTAGTCTGACATCTTTTCCATCTTGGACTACAAATCTGTCTAGAATTATCTTCTTGTATAGTTTTTTCAATAGGCTAGCTATTATTCATTTTTTGATTTGTTTTAATCATTTCACATCTTCTATTTATATTTTCTTCTATCTGCTTTATTTGGTTTTGCTTCTATTCCTTTTTTCTTCTGTTTTTCAAAATCCTTTGCCAGTTTTTTATATCATCTATCTAAGCTTCTAATTATTGTT